AGCGTATGGCTGGGTCGGTTGAGTTGTATGGGTCGGTAGTAAGACATGGGTTAACACTTGGGCCTGAGCGTTTCGTTGGGTTAGTGATAGAGCTATAGTGCTATACTGATACAGATACATTTTGTAGTGGATCAGTGTTACGCGGCTGGGTTGGTATTACTGTGTGGGTTGATACGAGCCCATGGGTCGGTAGGATCGCATGGGTCATTACGGCAACGTGGGTCGGTTGGGTTGTGTGGGTCGGTAGTGAGACATGGGTTAACACATGGGCTGCATGACTGGCGTTAGGTTGGGTTGGTACAAGGCTGGGTTGATGTTAGCGCGTGGGTTGGTACAAGTCCATGGGTCGGTAGGACCGTATGGGTCATTAGGGTGGGTCGGTTGAGTTGTGTGGGTTCGCGGCTGTACATCAGTATTTTACCAGTAGGACTATGTGGGTCGACACTGCATAGGTCGGTAAGGTCCTATGAGACATAAAGACTGCATGGGTCGGTAGGGTTGTTCCTATTGTTCACGGTTGTGAAAAGCTGGGTGTGTGAGGATGGTTTTCCCCAGTTTTTGGGACATCTGTGCCGGTTGTGTTCACGGTTGTGGAAAGCTGGGTGTGTACATGGGTCGGTAGGGTTGGTCCTATTGTTCGCAGTTGTGGAAAGCTGGGTGTGTGAGGATAATTTCCCCAGTTTTGGGACATCTGTGCCGCTTGTGTGAATGAATAACAGGTAGTGTTAATGATTAAGCACGACTGCGCCGACTTGTAACCTTTCGCACCGCCTTATTTAAAATCGCGGGGCAATAACTCAAATTTGTTGTGGGGGTCAGTCCGGGGGCAGCCGGAGGCCTGGCAAGTCTCAGCAATTAAGGGGCAACTCTGGCACCGCCTAAAGATTACACAGGTCAGCGACAATACCGGGCTCATGCGGCGAAACATGGGTCCCCGCCGGGCCGAAACAAACATGGGGGTGGGGTAGGCGGGGAGGGGTGGGGGGGTGACAGGTCTGTTACAAGGGCCAGCTATGCCAATACGGAAGGCAGGGGGGCTGTGTTGGTTAGGGGGGGGGTGGTCTGTTACAAGGACCAGCTACGTTTGGTGACACAATACGGAAGGGAGGGAGGGGGGGGGGTCTGTCTGAGGAACAAGGACCAGCTTCAGTTACACGAAGTTCAGCGGAAGGTATGTTTTCTGCCCCGCGGCGCCTACTCAACCCCACACCGCGCCTTCCTGGGAAACACACGGACTGAGAACACCAGAGACGGGCTGTAGTCAGATGTCCTGCTTGCCCCATGTCCGGTGCCAGTGGGTCTGTGTGGAAGTGATGTTCCTTAGGCTTGTTGCGTCAGTGCTAGCCTGGACGCCAGACCCATGGCACATTGGGCCCAAAGTTATATCCACTGTTCACGTCTCGGCGTATCCAAAAACGTAGCTTTGTCCCAGACAGAGTTCTGGATACACGTGGACTATCCAGAACCGTACCTCGACTAGCCTGGATGCCAGACTCCTGCACATTGGATATTACTTAAAGCCCAGTGATGATGATGACGATGACTTAGGGCCCAGTGTACCATGGGTCTGGCATCCAGGCTATGTTCTGTAGGCCTGTTGCGTCAGTGCAGAGTTGTTTGTTACCGGGTCCGTGTCTCCGTGTTTGTGTAAAACCGTCCCACATTTGCTTACACGGTTCTTCCCAACAATAGCCAAACACATCCCCGGACTGAGCAAATTAAAACAAACCCTTCCGCGCCCTACTTTACCCACAAACAGCCGCTTACAGCAGAAAAACTTCGCAGTCCCAACCTGAATCAGCGCAGAAAACCTCCGAGGTCCTACTCTCCAAGCAGAGGTTGGTGGAAAGATCGTTACCTTTCCATAGATCTATATGCCACATTTTTTTCGATAAAAAGGGGCATATATAGATGATGATGAAAGACCCTTATTGTACATTCATGAGAGAGAGAGCGAGAGAGAGAAAGGTAACGATCTTCCCCCACCAACCTCTGCTTGGAGAGTACCCGTGTCCCAACCTGAATCAGCTCAGAAAAACTCGCAGTCCAACTCTGAATCCGTAGCCTCTACCAGGCTTCGGGAGGTGGCTGGAAAGAGTAGAAATCGGCCAAATAGACAGAGATAACATGCCGGGGGAGTTGGTCTGTTGGAGAGAACAGTTTTCCGTTCTCTAGAGGACCAACTCTCCTGGCATGTTATCTCTCAGAGTTCTACTCTTTCCAGCCGCCTCCCGAAGCCTGGTAGAGGCTAGTATTAGCATACCACCCGCCTCCCGAAGCCTGGTAGAGGCTACTGAATCGGCTGTCACGGTTCCAGCCGCCTCCCGAAGCCTGGTAGAGGCTACCGACTCGGCTATCACGGTTCCAGCCGCCTCCCGAAGCCTGGTAGAGGCTACTCATGCAGGTGCCTCCCGAAGCCTGGTAGAGGCTACTCAGGTGCCTCCCGAAGCCTGGCCGAGGCTACTGACTCGGCTCTCACGGTTTCTCCTCGTGCTGAGCGGCTAATTTGGCAGGAAGCTGGGTTTAATGAGATTTAGCTGATGAAGCGTGGAGCTTCTCTCCGCACCGCGTCACGGTTTGTGTATCGCCATGCAGAAAAGCAGAAACTCATTAAAATAGCTTACAGCGAGGAAGGGAAAATAAATACTGCTGGACGAACGTTTCCCTAACACGGGTTATATAGTGCTAGTTTAGAACTGCTCGTTCATTCAATTTCATTCTAGAAAGTAATAACCCTTACTGATAGGTAAATATATCAAAGAATATTCAAACCTTAGATCAAGTAGTATAAGTTGATTCATCTGTTTTTTTTTTACGTAGGTCAATTTTGTAGTACCCGCGTGTCTGTCTGCATGTTTACCTGTAGTTATAAGGACCTTAAGAAAGTCGCTGTACTTTTAATGTATCAATGAAGTTTCTTCTATGTTAAGCTTGTTCCAATGCACTTCTGTATATCGGAACTCCATTGGAACTGCATTGGTTATCTCCGCTGCTTGTTTTGTTTCTCCTGTATCGGAGTGGTTCAGCGCGAAAGTAAAGATACGCAGATACTCGGACGGCCAGGAGTAGATAGTCCCGGACTCGTACAGGCCAGGATCGCCCTGCAAGTTCCGATAAGAATAATTGACACAATAGTTGCTGCATTGCCGCTATCGCCAGGAGCGATAGTCTTCTGTACTCCCCAAGTAGAAGTTAAACCTTCGGCTTATTTTTCGTCTTTTTATCGGGCTTTCTTTTCTGACTGCCTTGCCAATTTGATATTGTCTTGATACTGTCTTGTAGAGCCACCAGCGATTTCCTTGGAAATAGTGATAGCTACAGTTCGACTTCCAGTCGCATGTACTACTTTGATAGTTTCAGTCCAGTACAGTGTAGCGCAGTGATAGCTCCTGCTCTACATTTGATACGATCTTCATTTGGTCTTGTAACCACCAAAAGATCCCCTTGGAAATATATTGTTTTATTGTAAATCTTGTGTGCACCTGTAGTGATAGTTTCTGTCCCAGGCGGCAGCATCTGTAGCTCCCGTCTTTAGTGGAGTGACAGTTTCAGCACTAGCATACTTACTGCCTGCCGTCTGTGCGCTGATTGATGAAGATGCCTCTCCGTGAGTTGGTGCGTTAAAGACAACTCACCTGAGCAGCCTACCTGCCTTACCTGCCGCCTTACCTGTTACCTGGGCGGGCGGGCCCGAGGCACATGCCCCGCGGCAGGGGGGCTTTGTCCGCCCGTTGGTCTGGGCGGGATCCTCCTGACCCGTTTTTCCAACTCAGGAGCCGAAGACAAAAGGCCGGAGCGAGTCTCCTGTCCGCGAATAATGACTCCGGCAATTACCGAAATTACGGCTGATTAAAGCGTTGTCACTCCCGCTGCCGGACCTGTTCGCCTATTGTGGGCTGGAGACGCCAAGTCTGGGGCAGGCAGCCGTTTTGCATGGATTAAATCTGCACAAATTTTACATCAGAAATAACCCCCTACTCTCCAAGGCAAGCAGAGTTTGGGTTTTGGCTTATTTCTGGCGTGTTTTTAGGCTTTTTATCGCTCTTTTTTTATTGCAGTTTTCTTTTACGTTGGGTTGGCATTAAAAAAAAACTGCAAAAAATAAAGCCCGACAAAAAAGCCTAAAAACACGCCAAAAATAAACCCAAACCTCTGCTTGGAGCGTAAAAACTTCCTAGCCTCTACCAGGCTTCGGGAGGCGGCTGGAAAGAGCAGAAATCGGCCAAATAGAGAGATAGCATGCCAGGGGAGTTGGTCTGCTGGGAGAGAACATTTTACAAACTCCCCTGGCATGTTATCTCTCTATTTGGCCGATTTCTACTCTTTAAAGCCGCCTCCCGAAGCCTGGTAGAGGCTATAGCGACCGACTCGAGACCGAAACACGCGGAAAAGGCGATTCCAGCGACTCTGTTTGAATAAGGGCGTCCTTGGTTTGATTTGGTGATCCGAAGTCCATAAATTCGTTTGGCACCGGCTCGCTAATCCCGCTGAAGTGGATCATCCCGGATTATCAACACCAACAAAAACTTTACAACCGCGCGACTTAAAAACTTCTTAAACCGATTTCCTCCTTCTGAAGAAGATTTGATACGGAGAAAAGTCCGCGATGGTAGCAGGAAAGTCCGACTAACTTTAAGCACTACGTGAAGTGTTGAAGTCGGCCTTTCGGCAGGAAAAAGACAAGTCTTATTGCGGATGAAATTCTGCATTAAAGAAACCTTCCTGAGGGATTTAGTAGATCTGATAAAATGTTGTGTTTGTGGAGGGGGGGTTCGGCCGAGACGGCTGAGTGACAGGCCGCACGGGGCTGCCGTCAAACCGACCAATCACAGCCCA